TCGCGACAATGAAACGCAGGGCGGACCGGTAAAACCGATTATGACTGTGTTAGCCAAATCTGATGGAAATTCCAAGGGATGATAGGAAGGTACTAAAAATCGGTGATATTCTCGCTATGATGACGAAACGGCTGAGTTCAAAATGTCTTTCGGGACATGATGTAGAGACTTGTGTTGGTACATAAATCTGAGCGAGCATTTCTTTCTACACCTATTTTCGTGAATCTCATATCGTCGCATTATATATGAACCCACACATATTTGCAATCCACCTAATCATTTATCTCTTTATTATTATTATTTTTACCTAAATCAACAATCTCTGCTTTTCACACACATTTTTTCAGTTATGAGTAGTTATCGCAGTGACTATTCTTCTGAACATAGTAGAAGGCAATAGTATAATCTTTTGGAGTGATTTCTAGGACACATTCCAGTCATTCGAGACGATCGAGCCAACCGACTGAAGACTCTTACGGAAGGGGAGAAAATCGAACGTTCCGATATTCCAGAGGTGAATATGAGGATGGTGAGGAAGATTATCCTCGAGAGTCGTATAGTCGTTATGACAATCAGGAAAGGGATAACTATGGATCTCGCAGTTCTCGACGAGGTCCAAATGACTCTACGGCACCTCGTCGTCCAGCTCCTCGACCCAATGACTATAAGCGTCGTCTTCCACCTCCTCCAGACGATTATACGGATTCCTATGAATCTAGAATCGTGCAGCGTCCACATCGTTCATCATCTACTTCTGAACGTTATGGCTACGCCGAAGAGGACTATTCTCGTTACAATGCAAAAGAAGACGAAGACGCAGACGAAAACGTGTACTATGACAGTGAGGGTCGTTTGTTTGATCATGCTGCGCCTCCTCCGACTCCTGCTCCACAACCCAAAGAAAAACGCGAAGGTTTGCAAGGCCTCATCGAGATCGTGAACAAGATCCAAGAAGTGTTCGCCATCGTGGGCAACAACGTCCTCGACATGCCCCAAATCGCCGTCGTCGGCGGCCAATCGAGCGGTAAAAGCAGCGTGCTCGAGAACATCGTCGGCAAGGACTTCCTTCCCCGCGGGAGCGGCATCGTCACGCGCCGCCCGCTCATCCTGCAGCTGATTTACGACGACTCTGTGCGCGCAGGTTTGCGTTGGAGCGCGCTGTCGACTAGATTTCGGCGTGTTTCTGCACAAACCGGGCCGGCAGTACTTCGATTTCGACGAAATCCGCGAGGAAATCGAAGCGGACACCATCCGCGAGACGGGCACGGGCATCTGCGTGTCCGAGCGACCCATCATCCTCAAGATCTACAGTCCGCACGTGATCAATCTGACGCTCATCGACCTCCCCGGAATCACGCGGTTCCCCTTTGTTTCTCCGATTTATGTAGAGTGCCGGTGGGAGACCAGCCGAAGGACATCGAGGTGATCATTCGGCGGATGGTTCTGAAGTTCATTCGGCAGCCGAACTGCATTATCATGGCGGTGACGGCCGCGAATACGGATCTGGCGAACAGCGACGCGATCCAGATGGCGCGCGAAGTCGATCCGGAAGGCCTGCGAACGGTAGGCGTGCTGACGAAGCTGGATTTGATGGATCGCGGGACGGACGCGTTCGAGATTTTGTCAAATCGCGTGATTCCGCTGCGCTTGGGGTACGTGGGAGTGATTAACCGCGGGCAGAAGGATATTGACACGCGGAAAAGCATGGCGAAGCAGTGGCGGGACGAAGAAGAGTTCTTGCGAGCGCGGTATGCGTCGATTGCGCGGGTGAACGGGACGCGATTTCTGCGCGAGAAGCTGAACCAGCTGCTGCTGAACCACATCAAAGTGGGCCTCCCCGCGATTATCACGAAGGTGAACGAGTTCAAAGCGGAGAAAATGTGAGAGAACCGGCTCTCGCTGAGTGGTAGCAAGGAATTGGAGGCCATGTCCGTCGGGCTCAGCACGCTCTCGCAGATGCAAATCGCCTTCTTTGATTCGCTGAACCAGTTCGTTGCGCGCTATCAGCAGCTCATCGACGGAAACGCGTCCACCGAAATCGGAGAAGTCGTCGGAGGCGCGCGAATCCGATACATTTTCCACGGTTTCCACTTTTTGAGAGGTGGGATCTAGACGTGTTTCGATCGAAAATGGACGCATTGGACTATGTGCAGGAGATCCCCGACGCCGGTTTCCCCTTTTGTTTCCCCTTTTGAAGCGCAGAAATTCTGCAGGACATCGCGAATCAGCAGGGCGTCAGCGGCGGTCTCTTCACGCCCGACCAGTCGTTTATCAACCTCACGAAGAAGGGGATCCTCACGTTCTACCCGTACTGGTAGTTTCGTTATGGAATTCGATCGAATGCAGCGAGGACTGCACGCGATTGGTCGAAGAAGAGCTCGTCACGGACCTCCAGCTCGTCGATTTGCCCATCTTCACGACCTGTCCTCTCTTCAAACAGCGGCTCTTCGCCGTGCTCCAAGCCCTCATTACCTCGTTTCCACGTTTGGTTTCCACGATTGGTAGGCAGACGCAGAAGACCGTGGAGCTGGTTCGGCAGCTTTTGGCGATGGAATTGACGCTCGTCAACGTGCGACATCCCGATTTCAACGGGACGCACATCGAGAAAGTCCGCGTGGAGGCGGCCGCCGCGGTGCAGAAGGTGGCGATCCCCGCGGGGAGTGATGGGTAGGAGCTGCTAGCGAAGAAGGCGAAGCAGACGCCGAGTTATTCGCTGCCAGTGGTGGAGAATTGGCTGTAAAGGAGGGGAGAGGACTGAAGAGAAGGGACAAACGGAACAAGTTTCACCAGTACCAGCGACGTTTTGTTCAAATTCAAAATCGAATCTTGTTTGTTTGCCCGTTTTGGGTCACTTTCAGAACCTATGCACACAACACTTCCATAAACGATCCTTCTTCCGAACCCCACTCGTTCTCGCTCGAAAACGCATCCGCGCGGATGCTGGAGGCCAACCAGGCCGCAGGCGAGTACGTCTTTGAGATCCAGGCGGAGCTTCGCACGCTCCAATTCCGCACCAATCAGCAGCAAACCGCGGAAAACTGGGTCAATTGGGTCACGGCGTGCAGCAACGAAAAACGCTATCAGGACACGCTGAAGCAGTTGCTGCACACGACGGAGGAGGGAGAGGAGGATGCGGAGAGCGTGCTGAACGACGCGGCCGCGATGGAGAAGAAAATATCCGCGGAAATCGTGAAGCGGATTTTGAAGTCGTATTTTGACATCGTTCGGAAGAAGCTGATCGATGCGATTCCGAAGGTAGGAGAGCGAGGAGGAAATGGATAGAATGCAGGCGATTGTTTATATGCTCGTGAACAAGGTGATGGAGCAGATGACTGCCACGGTGGTCGAGGAATTGTTTAACGACCAGGCGGTGGTGGAAATGCTGGCAGAGGACCCGGGAATCACGAAGAAGCGAGAGGAAACGCAGCAGGCGATTGTGTATTTGGATGAGGCGATCGAGAAGATTAACTACATGCAGGCGTCGGGCGATTTGGAGAGAGGGGAGTGAGTTCCACGTTGATTGAACGTGTTTTCTGACGATTTGGAAAACTGTTTGTTAAAGCAAACTTCACAGTCCACTTAACAATTTCTTTACTCTTTATTAAAAACCGAATTTCAGTCACAGCTTCCATTTTATTTTATGTATCCGTGGTGAATAATTGTATATTGTGAGGAGTAGATCGTTCAATAGCAGTTCTTCAGGTGTATCGCCAATTTCGGGCTCTCTAGATTTGAAGAGGATTCCCTCCTTCTCCCAGATCATGGGAGGGACTCCTGTAACACCTCCTGTCAATTCTGTTGCAGCATCCGCTCCTCCGGACATGGTTAGCATCTACATGAATATCGCAAGCATATTTACCTCGGTTTCACAGAATTTGCAGTCGATCCACAAATCGTATCTCTTTGACATTTATGCTTCTTCTTGCTGCAACTGGCTCGACGGTATTTCAAATGAGAGCAGCATGGTGGCTCTTAGCTACCCTCAGTTTATCCCTCTGCAGTTCCAAGCGTTCTGGTCTCCGGTTCCTGACACGTTGGAGGTCGAGTTCTTTTCTACCGTGTCGAAACAGCTGTATAGCATAATGCATTCCGTACGCCCCACTCCTCGCTCTCTAACCCCTCAGAACTGGAGCGATCTCCGCGAGATCGTTCCTCAGCTCGCTTCCAAGATCTTTTCCTTCATGGACATCCTCAACACCTGCATCACCGGCCTCTCCACGAACGGTCCGTTCCAGCGCGCCTGCGAATCGCTCCCCGCTCAATTCCAGCACGACGAGTGGCTCACAAACTCGCTGCGTCTCTACCTGCTCTGCACGCAATTCGTCTGCGATCTGCGCAGCAGCTCCTTCTCCCACCTCTACCCCTCGCTTTCTCTCTGGGACGTCCAGAACGGCGTCCAGCATCTCCAGCAGCAGCTCTGGATGGAAATCACGCAGCGAATGGACAGCGTTCCCATCAGCAATTTCGTTGCGCGCATGCAGACCATCTCCGCGGTTTTCCCCCTTTTTTGTTTGTTTTACACGCAGGAGATCGCGCGCTCGCGCGTGTTTCTCAAGGGCGGCGCGAATGGCGGCGATGATTGTCTCGCGCTCTTCGACGCGCGGTTTCGAAGTGGGAATTCCTCGATCACGTGACTGGAAGGTTTCTTCGACGCGGCTGAGGCGGAGGCCGCGGGGAATCGGCGATTTGAGCTGGAATCGGCGCGCGCGCGGTTTGTGAGTGCGTTTGAAGAGGCGAAGCGTGAGAATTGGGAGAAGCAACGATCGATTTTGCGCGTGTTGACGCAGATTCGGGAGAATTACGCGATGGCGGTAAGGAAGAGGGAGCGATGCGATGTAGATGCAAGCGAAGCAGAATAGGAGGAACGACGACGTGGAGTATATTGTGGAACATTCGATGGAACTGCTGAAGACGTTGAGGGACTATGAACAAATGCATCACTTGCGAATGGACTCGCAGTTCCAGTATTATAAGAACCAGTTTTTAAGTCTTTTGGAACCATGCCGATGAGTTGTTTGTTGGAAAGAGGAGGAATGTCAGTTTTGAATTGGCTTACGATGGAACCACACGAACAGGATCGATATTTGCCGATTGCGAATATTAGCCGAATAATGAAGCGGTCTATTCCTGGGTCGGCAAAGATTTCGAGGGAGGCGAAGGAATGCGTGCAAGAGTGCGTTTCTGAGTTTATTGCCTTTATTACAAGCGAGTACTTTATCGAGGTTTTGAAATAAGTGTAGGGCGAGCGATAAATGTAAACTCGAAAAACGGAAGACTATTAATGGTGACGATTTGCTATACGCTATGACTGCTCTTGGTTTTGAACGATATACGGAACCTCTACGCTCATTCTTGAACCGCTATCGAGATGTTGTTTTTCTTCATACCGATGTTTTTTTAGGGAAGTCTAGATGGAGCAACTGAGGAACGAAAGCCCGATTCTTCGTCCGTAATGTATTCTTCTAATCTTCCTGTGTCTATGACTCCAAGTATGCCTTCCTTGCCGCAGCAGGTTTGTGCTATGTGATGCTAAGTTTATATATAGCAGTCGTACGTAATGCCAAGTCTTGGAGAGCTTTCATCTCAGTCCTTGTAGATTTCTGTGTTTGATTCAAATACGATATTTGTGATCATTTTAGGACATCTTGCTGAATGAGTTAGGTAATCACATTGCATAGAACCATTCATTTTGTTTTTCAGATAGAGAAAGAGGAATGTAGCAGTGTAAATATTGTCTTCCAATATCACAAAATTATACTATTCATACATGACTGTGGTATGTCATCACAGAATTTTGTAATGCTTCGTATCTGATATGATATTTACGGATTCAAATATATGGCCATTATGGAGAGACATCTGCCACAATAATGAGATTGTCCAGTACTATTTGTGGATGGACTTGATTGTTTCTATTTGATTTTTCTATTTTTCCAGTTTGTGATTTGGCAAGTAGAACACATTTGTTTTGAATATTATGCAATTGCGATCGTATCAGTAAAGCCTTAATATCACTCCACAATTCTTTTTTGATTCTAAACATCGATTACAATAAGGATTGGAATGTGCTTGTTTAACCAATCTGAGTTGCGACCATGGAAATGAGTCGATTGGTGATTAGATCCTATAGGAATGACTAACGAATGAAAGTAAGCGATTTTAAACAAACAAAATAAGTAAGTTAGCATTGAACATAAGATGATCAATCATTGAAATGGATGGAATGGAGTGAATAGTGCTGGAGTAATATCTGGCTCATTTTGATTGTATCGTAGAAAAGTGTGGTACTCGTGAGATATGTACACTACACTATCTTATGGTCATGTTTCTGTTTCTGTTGCAGGTGCAGGTGCAGGTGCAGGTGCAGGAGCAGGTACAGGTATATCTTCCGATTCGGATACATACTTTTGAGAATATTTAACAAGATCGGCAAGAATGGGAGAAACATCTATGAATGAAATACAACAATTAGTTTATCAATACTTTCAATAATTTTTGATTGAACAGAATCAAATGAATTAGGTAGATCAACATCTCGAAGATTTGGAATATCTAAATACAATCAGTACTCAATTGTAAAAATACTATCCAATGTTACTGAACGAGGACATTTGAAACTATTTCCTTTGGAATTAATAATAGTTGTTAGATTTGGAAGATCTACAATCGATTATATTCTACCATTACTATAGTACTTCGCATTTGCAATATACACAATTTGGTATATATTCCTGCAAGTGCACTTTCACCTAGTTGTATGGATTGTAATGATGGAAGATCTATTGCCCATTATAATATCCAAAGTCATTCATTACTTTTAATTATTGTTGATAAGCAATAACAAAATGTAAAATCGCCAAGTGCAATGGATTGTAGATTTGGAAGACCTAATTATGGTAGTATATAACATCATTTCAATACCTCGAATCACAAATGAACTATAATAAAAATTGAATGATTCACTTCCCGTTGTGCCTATACGAATAGATTGTAATTTTGGCAGATTCTTCAATTCAAAGTCGCCAGCAAAATCACTGAAACTATATTCACCAATTTGAATGGATTCCAATGATTCACAATTCAATATGTGGAATGATTTCGATTTATTATTATCATACTTTTTCTGAAGAAACGAATGGTTTCCGATTTTGATAGTTTTCAATCGATTCAATCCGTCGATTATAAAGGACTTCACAAATACAAAGCAGTAATTCCCTATTTCTATAGACTCAACAGAAGTCAATCGAGAAAAATCAAGTATTGTATAATCAATATCATTACAAGTCTGATTGGGTAAGGAAATGGATGTAACATATGAATCAATTGATTGAAAATAAATGTGGCAAAATAGATTTGAAAAAGTTGCAATATGGACATCTAGAATAAATATAGGATATAATGGATACTCTTCACTACTTTATTTCTTGTTAGTTGAAATGCATAAGGTAACTTGGCATTTATAAGATTTGGAATATCTAAATACGATCGGTTTTCATTAGTTCTACTTACTTTCTAATGTCAATGAACAAAAATACACAAAACTGTCTCCTTTAGAATTAATAACTGATAGAATGGGAAGATCTATAAAGAAAAATTACTTATCATTTCATTATTACTTCGCATTATCAACGAACTTGATTCATCTTCGCTTCTTCCACTAATAGCAAACCAACCGAGTTGAATGGATTGTAATGATGGAAGATCTACATCAATCATTTCATTCGAATTTATTCAATACTCTCAAATACTGTTGTTAAGGAATAACAAAAAGAACTATCGCCTAATGTAATGAATTGTAGATTTGGAAGATCTATGCATTACCCAAATATTCAATATCAGTTCAATACCTCGAATCATAAATGAACTACTGAAGAAATTGTATGATTGACTTCCAATTGTCCCAATTTGAATGGATTGTAATTGTGGTAGATTCTTCAATTCAAAGTCGCCTCCAAAATCACTGAAACTAAATTGACCAATTTGAATGGATTCCAATGATTCACAATTCAATATGTGGAATGATTTCCATTTATCATTTCCATACCTATACTTTTCCTGAGTAAATGAATTGCTTCCGATTTTGATAGTTTTCAATCGATTCAATCCATCGATTTGGAATGTTTTCACTGATCCAAAACATTCATCGCCGATTTCGATTGATTCCAAATTATACAACAATGAAACATCCCAATCAACCAATATACAATTGTCATTTAGTTTCAAATGTTTCATTCCAATATTCAGTGGTTTGCTTCCATCTCCTTCATAATCAGTATCACATTCAATTCCATTATACCATTCACATTCATTCACTAATTTACCATATCGATCATACACTTTTCCTCTTCCAAATCGCTTATCATCACACCAATATCCTTCATATTCAATCAAACCATTATTATGATAACTCGTTCCATATCCAAATCGTTTCCAATTGATCATTATGCCTTTGTACAACAAGAATCCATCATCATCATACATTTCACCATATCCAAATGGAATTCCAATTTTACCTTCTTTTTCTTTATTAGTCAATACCAAACCTTCAAATCGACTTCCATGATCCAAATCCACGATTTCTTCTACTACTACTCCATTATTATATGAAACAGAACCAATTTGATGATTTCCAATCACTTTCAACACTTTCTGCTCATTGACCAGAAATCCTTGATTCATGAATACTCCATTATTGAATTGCAACATTACACAATCTCTATTACTCAACATGAGTGAAATCCAGCCATTTGGTTTCATTTCTTCACCCAAGTATATTTGCACATTTTGAATCATGGAACTATCAATATGATAGTAACTAATAGCAGAATTGACAAAATCAGCAATGCTTTCCATCGAAAAATGGTAAAACTGGAAGGAAACGTTTTTGTGGGAAAAACCTACATTAAGCTATTCCTCATAAACCATCATCAAATTCCTCCTTTTTTATGTCATATACATCTCCCTTTATGATGGTATAGCTTAAACATGGATGTGATTACATAGTCTAGTTGAATCATTTCGAATGATGAGACTATCAATACGTGAATAGTGAACACCTCCAAAGAGTACATTATTTGACATATCTATGATACCCCTCACTTTATTCTTTCACAACTCTCAACTTACACAGAACATACTAACACACTCTGAATCATTTTTTTCTTGATCTCGATGATTTCTATCATACTATGAACCTGTTGCTTGCACATTACCAAGATTCAATTGTTATTCTCATATCTTTGTTACTTGTTGTATAAGACAAGTGTTCCAGTAATCATTCTCTCATTACAGCACGACTCAACTCATTGCATATACCATCTCTAAATGTACAAATCATTCGAACTCTCTCCTCAATCCTTATTCTATTTCTATTTCTATTATTACGATGATGATGATTGCCCGCCCTCTCCCATTCCATTCTTTATCATCAGACAACCCCTTTTTCCTCCTCCTTCAAAAAAAAAGACGTTCATAACAACAAACACTCCACAATCCAAACAACCATTCCGCTATCCACGTGCACACAGAGAATCGCTTCACTGGCGCCTTCTTATAAATCTCATTTTCCTTCAGCAAATAATTTCTTCGCTTCATTTTCCCGCCCTTTTTCCTACCTCGTATCCATCGACTCACTCGCCAATTCCCGCGGTTCTGCTCTTCCCTCCATCCCCACTTCCTCCGCTGCACAACGACATACACCAATGAAACTCCCGTTCAAATAAGTCCCGTTTTTTGCCAATGCTCGTTCCACGTCTTCCTGACGGTGGAAACGGAGAAACAGGGAATTCGAGGTGCTGGACCGACTCTCTGCTATGAAACTCCCACGCTGAAACTCCTCCAACACTCTCGAAGTATCTCCCGCGGGAAACCCGAACACCCGAACCTATGGGTTAAGGGGGTGGGGATGTTCAACCCAGGCAGTTTCATCGGAGAACTCTTCGTGAAAGCTGATTGGACGAGAGGAAGAAACGTATTCCGGCTGATACACTTGAGGCTTGGAGGAATGGGAGGGAGAGTGGGAGAGAGTGGAAAGATCGCTTTCTGCAGCGGTTTTACCATAAGAAATGGAGTCGCCTCGAGGGTAATCTGTGTCACGACGCATGTATAATATATCTGTGTCGTATTCGTTGTTCTGAACGTTAATATGCTAAATGGGAAACGTACGACCGGGGGTAATGTGTTGTTGCGGATGTTGATGGCGGAGTTCTTACGCATCGATCTATTATGTAATGACAATGTATAAAACGAAAACTGTTTCATTTTAAGTTCATTTCTTTCTTTTTCACTGCGAATTCGGCTATTTAAGTTCTCCTCTCGTTTTGATTGTAGTAACTACACAATCATCAGTAATAGCAGTGAGTCAAACTTTTGAAGTTGGTAAAATAGGAGGCAGAAACTCTGAAGTGGTCGAATCTGAACTACGCGGAACTGACATCTACTAATTACAAAATTCACCTATCTCCACATTCTCTAATCTAAAAATATAAAAGGTTCGAAAATCAAAATCAGTTCTGTCAGATTGGGTTTTTCACAAACATTCGAATCCTCCTCCTCCTCATTGGATTTCTCAAAACCTTCTCCTATCTTCTCATCACCATCAATTTGATTCTCATCCTTCTCCAGAGCTTCATGCTCTTCGGGCTCGTTCGTTTTCTCTTCTTGTTCCTGTTCTTTCTCTTCTTCACTCTCATCCGATATATGCATATTCCTCAATGCCTCGATTCGCTTTCTCGTCTCGTCCGCTTCCTCCTCATGCTCTCGTTTCTTTGGCTACACATCAACATCCACACTCATCTCCACCGCCTTGCTTCCATCGCAACTCGCACAGCCACGGCAGCCGCATGTTACGCACTCGACGACTTTGCCAGGAGGCAAATTCGCCTTGGGAACCTAGGAAAAGGAGAAAACAGAGAGAGTACACGACAGATGCAAGTAGAGCGGAAATTGTGTTCGCCATTCTGCGCACACGCGATACAGCATAGTTTTTCATACCCTTTCTAGAGTGATGATGCGAAACGACACAACAATACCTTTTTCCACATGGCAATTAAATCTTTGTCCGCTATTTTATTCTTTATGCAAAAATCGTATAGTTCTCTGGAAATCTGCTTGTCCTTATATGCTTCCCATATATATCGGCTAGGAAGGAATGCTGAATGAAGAAATTCCTACGATTTCTGGTGGTGAATCTGAAGGATCGGCCAAATTGATTCCTGCTTCCGTTTTCCATCATGAGGTTGACTTTCCGCTGCATGTCAAAATAGTCGTAATCTCAAAATTACCTTCTCTCATCTTCATATCAAGTTCGTTTAATGTAGGCTCGATCACCTCCCAACCCTAATATTTAACTTTAAATTACCAGCAGCTACTTCTGGTTTCTTCTTTTTGTCCCAAGGTCGCATGATGAGATTTTATTCTGACAACATCAGGACGGATGTCTATTCAAACAAACAACAGATTATTCCAATAGTACAGTTAAAAAGTCATCTTTCTCTCTGCATCATACAATAGATCAAATATCTGTGAGTGAGATCGATATTTGGGGAGATGTACAGCTGAATAAAGCGTGGTTGAGTGGAGAAGACTGTCGGGTTTGGTGAGTGAAAGTGGGTTGTTTCTGCATTGCAAGTATGTCTGATAGATATCCTGCATAATCTAAGAGAAAACCAAGGAATCAGATGAAAAACTTCAATAAGGGTATTATCACCCACAGTGATCGATACAAGAAGAAATAGACAGATTTCCTTGCTAATACGATAAAGATAGCTAGAATCAACAAGAAAAATGACAAACTCACAGATGATACACCTGATAATCAGCAACCTTTATAAGAACACCAATTTCACTCGAATTCTGCTCAGAAGGCTTGCTATTCCCATCCCCTTCATCTGCGTGGCGTGAACCAATGTGAAATCCCTTATTAATAAAATTTGCTATTTGATATTCGTAATAATCCTGCAAAGAGCGAATTTCGCAAAGACTAAAGATAACCCGATTCTATCATCATAAACGAATAGGAAATAGATATACATTCGAGATTATTGACAAACAAGGAAAATAGGTCAGACTCATAAAACTAAATATTGTTCATTTCTCCTTGTACATAAAATTGTATTGCCTCATCAGAATATCGACTTGTCGTTGTTCATAGTTCACATTATCGAGTTGGAGTGATTTTGGATTTCTTTCCACCCGTAAATGGTTTATAGAAGGGAGTGAATTGCGTTGTGAGTGATAGAATGAGGACTTTGATAAAGGAACCTAGAATCACATTTCAATCAAAAGGAAACGTTTACATGATGGCTATGGTACAAAGTGCGATAATATAAGCTACAATATCACTCGGATCTCAATTCTTACTATCCCAAACAGAGAATGACAATGAGAGATATCACATTAACATAAATAGATTTTTTCTGTTTCATAATTAATGTGTTTAAACTACTGTACTATTTGAGTCGTAAGGTATATAATGTGTGTTCGGGAGCTGAGAAATGGAGCAATAGTAGTCAAGTGGTAAGATAGGTCCCTGCCACGGATCAGGCCCGGGTTCGATTCCCGGCTATTGCATTTATTATTAATACTTTTATTTTCATATAATGCCAAAATCCTCCTGCAATTCATATTTATTGTCTGATTCAGTTTCATTTTAAATTGAATGGAGTTTACACATCTGTAATACACTGCAAATAGTCGATTCCGTACTGAAACATCGAAAAATCGAAAAATGAAAAGCTGCCTTCTTGATTATCGAAGGATTATTTCACCCTTATTTGTTTTTTATACTACTATTTTTATGTTTTTTCTCACTTCAGTAGGTAGAGTGACAGATGGACTTATCTTTGTACCTTCTACAGGGACTGGAATTAGACCTAGGTGACATCCATGCTCTCAACTGTGGAGGCAGGACGTGATATCGATTCCTTTAAGGATGAAGTAGCATTCCTTCAATTCGCTTGACCCTAGTCGAAAAAACTGCTGAAATCCCTTTCTAGCAGTAGTGCGACACAAATGCAAGTGACATCCGGCGACTTATGCTTCAGGTATCGTTGGTTCCCTTCGCTCCCCTTCCAGCTATTTGATCTATGAAAACCTGTGTTTCTTGACCTTGACGGAGAAGAACATGCAGAAGCGTGCGATCTTTGCGTTTTTGGAAGATGTGAAAACATCCTTCCTGAACTATGTGCAGACTGAAAACAGCACCGAGTTCGAGCTGTGCATCGTGCTTACTCTGTAGATGGAAGACAATTCTCGCAACTACCGCTCGTCCCTACGCATTTGCCCGTTTTGGTAGTTTTTGCGTTGTGTTGTGAACGGCAGACAAGGAAATCCAGGCAAAACGCCGTCTGTACGACCAGCCGTCGAGCAGTCTGGACAGCTATGCGCAGCTGAGCGAAAACCTAATCGACATCCAGAACATTATGCGAAAGAACATCGATGAAGTGGTGCATCGCGTGGAAAAGCTTGATCGTAACTGAGTGGAAGTGCAGTGAGACAAAGATGTGACGGCGACGAGCGAGCAGCTGATGGATGATTCGAAGAAATACAAGTGGGGAGCGAAGAAGCTGAATTACATGGTATGGAAGAAATGAGCGAATCAGAGCGTAGACGATGCTCCGAAAGTATGCGCCGCTTGCTTTCATTGTGGGATTTGTACTGATAGTAGTTTACTTCCGTTTTCGATAAATAGTGTGTTTGTTTTAAACTGAATTTGCTTTTTTTGCACATATATATATATTTGTCCATGAAATTCTGGCTAGGGAAACATATAGACATCGATATAGACAGTAATAAATCAATTATTGCCAATGCAAGTACACTCATTGTAAAGATCACTTGAAATCTCAATTCTAGGCATATCTGCATACAGAAATTGAAAATGTATCATTCTATGCTGATTCACAACCTCTCGATGTTACCATTCCTATCAATCGGCAATGCTCATCGCAGAGTATAATAACGCCTATTACTCTGTTTAAGTTCGATGTTGTTTACAATAATTCAAATCTACAATTTGCGTATTGGACAAATGTGACTGTTCAGCAGTTTTTGGATTATTTTATCTCCAGCAATAAAATGGACACAAAACGAAAGTATTGTATGAAAGTAGACGACGTCATTCTCTTGGAGAGTGACTATGTTCCGTTTTCGGGCTCTTCTCGTCCCATATTTATATATTGCCTCGACATTATTGTTTCTGTAAAGTACAATATCGGAAAAAATAGTATTTTTGCGAGTAATCTAATGACCATCGGGGATCTGAGATATCTTTTCTATCGGCAGTATATTCGTGGCAACAGCTCCAAGAATGATGTCAACTCCTATAGATTGTTTAACGTAACAACCAAGGGTATGCAATTGTTGGATGATGGGAAGCAACTCCAAGATTTGATCAAGCGAGGAAACCTGAACTTGGAGCTGGCTCAGCCTCTTTTTGTAAACTTCAAAGGGAAGATGAATGTTGACTTAAAGCGCAAGTTCAAGACAGTGGGAGATTTTCTCAATGTGCTGTTGTATTCCAGGATTGAGATGTAGAAAATGAGAAAACAGGAGCCTTCTTCCAATTTCGTTATCTATCAAAGAAAGGACTCAAGTCAACCTCTCGATGAAGGAATGCTCATGTCGGAAATCGATTGTACAGATTCCAGTCCTCTCCAACGTAGTGTTGACGTGTATCTGTGATCTGTAGTTGTTGTTGTTGGTGGTGGTGAAACAAGTGAATTAATGGGATCGAAAAGGTAATAATTAAGTATTTCACGTTATATTTAGTTCAGCAATGCAGGATACGATTGACACTACCGAAAGATTGCTGCAACCTATATCCGATGGCCGCATGATGGCTACTGTCAATTCATCCCTACCACTCCGACCACCTCCTTCAATTCGACAACAGCAACATATCCCACAAAATAGAATTCCGAGGCCGAGTCAAAGAAAGTGTAAAGTGAGAATTTCAGTTGATGATATTGATGTGTCAACGCGATGGGATGAGATTCAAGTTGCTCAGGGCAAGACAATAAGAGATCTTCGCCGTAGTTGGCTGGGCACGATTGAAGAAGAGGGCTATTTCACCCTATCTCATTCTTCCTTACCGTTGGATGATGATTACCAAATACGTGGTGATCTAAGTCTGAATTGTAGGAATACATACTAAATTCATACTTATTAATAGATTATAATAAGGCTCCAGAATGCAAAATCTATGTTAATGATATAATTATTTTTGTAACGTCCGGTATGAAAATCAAATCCATACTGCAGGAAAGGTTGAAGATGCCTTATCCAGAGGATTACTGCTTATGCAGAGAGAATTCTAGGGATATTCTCGGAATGGAAGAAACTATGTTATCTCTGGAAGTGAACGATAATGATCGTTTTATCTGTACGTTTGTAATTAAGAATTGAAGCGTGTAGGCCCATTACGGATCGATATTGAACAAGATAAGTACGTACAGATGATATCGGTTGAAGACAATCGAACAGAGAAATATCCGTTCCTGAAAGATCAAACTGTGCAATATTATTTCACCCGTTTTATGGAAAATAAGAAGGGGCACAAGGACGTGATTTGTTGTACTGAGAACAGCCAACAACCTGTGGAGGTCAACCGTAAAGTGGAATCATTCAATCAATGTCCTCTCACTTTCATGGGTACTCTTTCTTTGGTGATTTTCACCCATATAGTTATTAATAAGCTCTCTCTTGAAATCCGGAGTTACTTAAAGTTACCCTCTTCTGTACACGATTGGAAATTGGTGCAACATGGATATAAGGCAAAGGATAGGTCGCAATATCTTAGTTTCTGTATTTTTGTCTTGTTTGAATCATCGTTTTAGGGGAATTGAATCAATTATTGTTCACTCAAGTGAAGGACTTACTGGATGCTTATCATGACACATTGGTTCGATTCGAAATTCTAGGTATGCAAATGAAAGAGAATGTGAAAATAGATTCCATAGATAAAGCCATCGTTTATTCTTGCAATGATTCGAAGTATACTGTGAAAAGGATTTCTCTTCCATGTATTATTATATTTGTATATTTGATGTGATTCGTAGTCAATAGTTACTGTTCGGTTGAAATAGGAATTGATACTCTCTCCTATTTGCAGCGTCACATTGGAAAACAGTACAACAGTATGGCATTATCACGTAATATTGGTATTTCTACTTTACAGTAGTGGCAGGAGAACACAAATATCTTGGCAAAGCTCTTAGAAACTATTTCGCAAGGATTACAAACCCTTCGTTTACTCTTTATTTAGCAGATGATGTGCGTGTTCCAATAGTTCACTCACATATTGAATGGGTCCCGAACGCTGAGAGGGAAGTAGTGAGTAGTAATCGACTGTATCAGAGGAGCGAAGAGGTTCTGATTTGTGCCAGCAATCGCAGAGCATACAGCAAACCAATTGAGTCTCTATATGTCTATTACAGAACTCCCGCTGGAGATGTGAAGTTTAGGTCTCTTAAGTCTTCTCTGACTGAATGTCTTGAATCTTTTGTTGTTGGCGACCAGGTTTTCTTTGAAACGAGCTCTTCTTTGCCTAATAAAGACAGTATGATTTTCACTCTCCCTCTTATCCGGCAAAATAACGCACTCAACATTATTCAAGATACAATCTATTTCTTCTGTGTGGAGAATGTGAAGAACAAATTGGTGACTATCCAAATGGATCGCAACAGAGCAATCCAAGTGTTTTGCAAGGCGGATTCCTTAATTTTCCATTCTCATCAAGATACAGCTTTGGTGAATGTAAGTGGTAGAGAGAAAACGTTGATCCTTCACCCTTATCGTGAAACCAGTTTCTCCGATACGATTCGAACTTTCGACCTACAAAAAACTCAAGAAACCTGCAACTGGATGGACCAAGTGATTGCGGATGGTATTCCGGTGATCATTTCTGGAAAGAGTGGATCGGGCAAGTCTACGATCGTTCGTCGCTATTGTCAATCGGCTAGAATTCCTCTTGTGATCTATTACTGCAGCGCCTCGTCGTCGAGAGACGAATTGTGGGGTAATGCGCAAAACGGAGTATTTGCAGATGCTTTCCTTCACGGAAAAACGCTGCTGCTCGAGGGAATCGTGTTTACTCCAATTGCACTTTTGAAGAAGATCATGGAGAATATTTCAAAACGCATGATGGGAGGATTGGCTATGCATCCAGACTTCCGATTGATTGGAACGCATAATACAGAGAATGATCCTCTGGATCCTTGCCTTTCTTCCTTTTTCCGCATTATTAATTTGGATGATTCCCCTAGTATTGAATTAGTTCGAGATGTGCTAACTCCCCTTTTCGAAACGGAGGATAAAATAAATCAGATCCTGCCTTTGCACAGAGATTGCAACACACCTCGCGATTGCAACACACCTCGCGATTGCAACACACCTCGCGATTGCAACACACCTCGCGATTGCTTCAATGTGTGGAAATTGGCAAAGGCCATTCCTACAACAGATAGAGTGAATGCTTTCCAGTGTGCTGTTCAAATGGTGTACGACTTCAATATGGACATGTTCCCAGTGATCGAATTTCCTGTGAAGTTGACAGACGATTATCTAGATCGTGTCTGCTGGAATCGCGTCTGTACACAGATCCAATACTGTTTGGATGCAAACTGTCATGTTCTTCTTGTGGCGGAAACAGAGTGGATTGCTCGAAAATACTGCGCAGCGATCCAGGACGAAAGAATGGTCAATGCATCTCTACTGTATTGCTCATCTGCAATGAGCACAGAGCCTTTGCTCGGTCAGTATGTATTGGATGAGGAACCTGGTTATGAGAATGACCATTCGATTCGATTTAACGCATCTGCATTTGTCGATGCTGCCTCAAATGGTACTGTTTGCAAAATGTTCTCAATTGATTTGCTTCCTTCCGCTGTCGCAAATCGAATCCTTCCGTTCTTAGAGAAATCGAATACGAATCAATCGATGGAGATAAATCTTATTGAAAGAAGGGATGATCCTACACTTGAACTCAGTCCTGAGTTTGTTGTGGTGGCTACAACCTCGGAGGAAGGACTCAAGTCAATGATGCCCGCTCTTCGTGGTCGTTTCGTCGTGATTCATGTAGGAAAAGAAAAGCCAAGTCGATTCGAGAAGAATGTAGATATAAGTGCAGAAGAAGTATTCGATTCTTATAAAAACCTTGTTGATGGAAAAGTAGCTGATATGATTCAGAGAAAGAAGCTCTATCGCTGTATTAGTTATCTCGATTCTGTTGTGAAGATGGATAAAATAGAAGAAAAAATAGATGACATTGTGAACGAGCGACCACTGGAATTCATGAAACATTTGGTGGAACAGATACCGTGCATGAATCAACTCTTTTACAGCTTATTGCAGAATCGGGCAACTGTCTTGTACGGTCCGAAATCAAGTGAAAAATTAAGAGTTGTGGAAGAATTATTAAAGGACTGTAACATGGAATTAAATACAAAAATAGTGTATTTGTCAATAGACACGGACTTCTATTCTTTGGTGGGATTTACCGATGCCGACGGAACGCATCATGATGGGATTTTAAAGTCAGTAATAGAAAAGGGTGAATTGCTCATCTTTGAAAATGCAGAAAATCTTTCCAATGAATTGTTTGAATGCCTGCAACCTATACTCGATGCTTTCGTAACCACTTTCTGGAATGAAAATGAATCGTCCCTTATTGATGTTAATTTCCGAGTTTTATTTTTGGTTACAGGAAATGATCCCCTTCCTTTTTCGTTTCCTTCCTATATTCCACGTATAAAAATCGATGAGATGAAGAAAGAGACTGTGAAGAGTTTTTGTTGCGGAGATGTGAAAGCAGATACTCAAAGTAACAACGCTCCAAGTACTTCAAATAAGGATCCATCTTATTATAATAACGATTTTATAGGGCACTTTATTGACTATGCCTTCAACCAAATACCTGTATCAGAGTTTTTTACGTTTCGTGATTTGTGCTTTGGAAACGATGCGTTCAAGATTTGCGTTGCTTTGTATGCAGATCGCAAAGATAGAGCTCACTTGATTGAAGGAATGCTGGAGAGTTGGAATACAAATGACATTACTCTAAAAGAACGAATTCAGCACACTCTTGGTGCATTGAGATCTGTTGAAATCCGTGTTGAGGCATTTAACGAAAGTAGTTCAAAACTCTATCGAGGTGAATTTTTCACTATTTGTGGTATTGGTACTCCAATTCTGGAGCAAGAAGATTCTTCCTTGTTACGCACTCTTTTTTCATTGAATTCAATTGGATGGAAGAATAGAGAAGTTCCTATCCTGCTGGTGGGAGACAATAATGTTGTGTCCCATATCACAGAACTCCTTGATTCTGGAAGAATTCTAATTGATTGTCAGCGTTCCACAAGTTATTCTGAATTGGCTGGGAAGAACGATTATTTGTCTGGAAACTTGATTAATGCAATTGGTAGGGATCACGCCTCACTAATTGTTTTCCAGAATTTGGACTTGTTGAATGAGCAAATGCGTTCCCGTCTTTATACGATATTATTTCATAAAAAAGATGTTGAACCGGAAGCGGTTCGAACTACACTATTATCATCTTGTGTGGAACATCGTCTTGGAATGGTGGAAGACCATGAAATGTTTACACAAATAGTCTGTCCGGCGTTATCTTCTCAGTTCAAAGATCGTTACAAGTTTGATACGACAATAGATTGTCCGTTAGCAGTTCTTGAGAAAGCTAATCGTATTAAGGAGTATTTCCAAAACTCTGAGAGTATTCCTCCTCTTTTTGTTTTGTGCCTTGAGTCGGATTCCTTAAACCGAAAAGAATTACTGAGTTCCTATCGCGGTAACAATACTTTCGACGGTTTGGTCAAGTATTTTTCGGAGTGGAGTGATCAGTATGATATGGGTGTGCTTTTTGAACTATTCAAACCGGAGATTACTGATTTGGTTGATATTGATCTGAATGATGAGACGAATTTCAGAACTTTCATTCAGATGTACATTTCGGTTTTCATGGCTCATCATTGTGAGATACCACTAATTGTGGAGCTTGAGAGGGGAAGGAAGATTGATGGGGTGATCACTTACTATTGCGAGAGGAATGGATACGGCATCGATCCGTTTGCGTGGTATACTAGCACTACAGAAGAAGATTTTTACAAGTTTTTGTCGACAGAGAGAAAAAGTCCTACGCTTCTTTTCCTAGATAAGTTAGACTCTGCTTCAATGAAATTGCAGAAACTAGTGTACACTATTTTCTATCAGTGGAAAAACAGCAAATCCATAATGATTAACAAAGGAAAAATAAGTCTTTCTCAAAATATTATTATCGTTTGCAGTACTCAAAGTCACTCCCTGTATTCGCCATTTTATGATTTATGTCTCACCCATCGAGAAGTTCAGTATTCGGAGGCGGAGATTAATAAGATGATTATTCGGTCGTTAAGTGATATGATGCATAACTTGATGGGCAAGAAGTATAGCTTCAGTTTAGTGGATATCAATAAGCTACAATTAATGCTAAACCATGGCCAAGATGAAAGATATATCATTTGGTTGTTGATTGCGTGTACGAAGCCGCAGGCTGAACGAAAAGCAATTGAAGCGATGCTAGGATATCGAGAGATAGATGATGTCAAGATCGTGAGAAATGAAAATGGCTGCATTGTCAAGGGCATCTTCGATATTACGGTCGAATGCAATCCTGAGGATGAGTTCGATGAATGGAAACTGACTACAACAGAAAGAGTCACGTTGTTCAAGATCCTGGCAGCCATGTTGTCTTGGAGATTCTCTCTGATATTAATCGGTGGTCGTTTCTCTGGAAGGACATTTGTTCTATCGATGTTGGCCAAGATGGAGCAGAGAGAGCTGCTCATTATTTCGTTGGATCGTGAGAGTACGGTGGCCGATTTAAAGGGAACAGTCTTTGTTACAAGGGAGGAAGGTAGTTGCTACGCAAAGGAAATCACGCTCGAAGAAGTTCTGGCTACGGGTGGTTGGGTGTATATCCAAGGAATTGAGGAAGCTTCTTCGGAAGTGAAGGATTGGATAACTGGACTCTGTGAGGAGCAAATCGATTCCACACTCAAGGAAGAAGCGAATTATAATTCGCTGGGAACCTTGCATCAATCGAAGTCAAAATTCTATCCTGGTTCTAGAATCTTCTTTTCGCTGAGTCAAGAGGCTGCAGATAGACTGCATTTGAACGAGTTGAGCCTATGTATTTACTGTGATCCTATCGCCACACAGATGGACGTTCAAGAACTTTATTGGCTTGAAAACCCACAGGAAAATCCATCCATGTTTGGAGAAGAGGAAGCCAAACAATTTGAAAAATGCTTGTATGTGGTTAACTCCAAGCTGCCTGATACGTTTGTGCAAGCATTTGGAAGACGTCCATTCAACAATCGGATTGTTGCCCAAGAAATGAATCTTCATTCTGAGGAATATATGATTTATGACCTGCTTACCTGGCGAGATCCGCAGCTTGCTTCAAAGTACTTAATTAAGATATTAACAGATCTACTCTATTCTCCCAAAGGAATCTCAAATTCGATATTGCCTATTCTGGAGCATGTGAGGGAAAGCTTCCATAATCAATTTGTTGTTGTCTTAATCAATACTATCCTTTCCATGAGGAATAGTAATGATGACGATGGACAAAATATGTTAAGGAGTATTTTGAATCGATGGATTCTTATTCCTCCTTTTAGTCCACATCCTCTTCCGGAGTGTAATCTTCTTAGAAGTCCAGATATGCCTTTTGTCAACTGTTTCAATTGCTCGTCGTACGAGTTTCTGAAAATGATATTCTTACGCCCTGGCAACATGGATGAGCTCTCCGCATTGCTAAAGGATCCTGATCTTATTGAATTCGCCAAGGATCTTTTTGGCTATTTCGATGCGATCATTAATTCGGGTATCTTCCGCTCGGACATTTGTGAAGTCTCGTTCCAAGCATTGGATGTGATTCACAGAAAATTGAGCAGTGTACCACAGCAGCAAGATATTTTCTTTTTGCGGCCATTGGACTCTAGTAATTGGGTGGGAAAAAGCATATATTGTGTCGAGCAGGCGATTGCCAAGCTTCCTGGTGAACTGCAGGAAAATTCGCATTTACAGAGAGTGTACGACAAGTTACTGACATACAGAGAGAGAGTTCACGATCACATTCTGAGAGGTGTAATGGATTCGGAAGAATCACAGAAGAATGCATACAGCAAAATTCTGAGTGCTATTAGTAAGCGTGGAAGTATTCAAATACTGATCACAGAATCGTTCCGTGATGCCATGATTCCTTGTTATATAGCAGAAGCCATTGTTCAATGCAGAAACGAGGATTGCGAAGATGAATATAAATATTCCTCTGAGAAAAACAGGATGATTGTTAGAACCTCTCATTTACTGTACAAAATGCAATGTTCAAAGAATTACTTGTATGTCTTGGGTGAATATTCGGATGTTCTAAAAGATTTCTTGCACATTGATATGAACGATGTAATGCATTCTTTCCAGTATATTTTCGTTGCAGTTCCGTTCTTGCTGATCCTTTTGAATTCGATCTTGAAAAAACTTCTTTTGAATTTGAATTGGAAGGAATTGGTTGAGGATTATGGTAATTATCCGTTCTATATGCCCCAAGAAAAATCTGAGAATGAAATTAAGCAAGCAATACAGAAATTGAGCGAATATGGATTTTACGAATGTGATAAGAAAGAAAATCCTGAAATGTCTCCTGATGATAGGAATGCGTCGTTGCTTAGAGAACTGTATGAGCCAGGAAGACCAATCAAGATTCAACTTGAATCTGTGCATTTGGTGAGAAATATCGATAATGATCTTGCCCTTGACAGACTCAGTTATCATCAAGCGGTCTGTACGGATTATTTGTGGGATGCATCGTTCTCAGACGAGGTGTCGTTAGATATCGTGATCCCACCTATGATATTTCGGATGGAAAAGATAATGGATGAAGAGAAGGAGATAGAGAAAGACAATGTAAGGGTTATTTGGGAGCCAAATTGCCGATTATCGATGAAAGAAAAGTTACATGTTTTATGTCCTCGTAGACAGACTCTAATAGGCCGAATTATGCTAGATGCTTTGGAAAACGATGATTTAAAGGAGTCTATGTTACAAGCTTTGCATCAAAAGGATACATTAGGGCATTCATTCTGATAGCAGAAGGTAC